AATGTATCTATATGCACAGTTACAAAATCCAAAACTCTCCTGTTCCCAAGCTAAGGGATCTCCCCCTATACTATTATAGTGAACTATAAAGTTATCCATGTGCACGAGTGTGGATAGTGATATTTGCAAATGTACAAAACCAAACATCAAATAAGAGCAACCTATTCCACAACTCTCAAGAGGTTGGTAGATGTCAGTAACCAAAGAATGGTGTGAATGCCAGTTAAAAAAGAGGGAACAAAAATTAAAAGAAACAGCTGGTTTCACTGAATGCTATGCAGTTCACAGTGTTCCAAAGAAACACGTGGTCAAAAGACCTGGGACTGGATCAGTATGACAGAAAATGATTTGCAATATTTGGGAGTCCTTTCATATAATATTCCAAAAACAGAAAGGGGAGGAGGGAACCAAAAAGCTGTGCAAAACAGATCAAGAGAGCCAGATTTATTGGCTACTGGAAAAGATGGAGTTAAGTCTTGATTATAGCTGAAGTAGGGGTCTGCTGCAGGGCTCCTGGAGAAGATCCTGCAGTGTCTTTTCTCCCTCCCCTGCAGTAGAAAGGTTCCCTAGGTTCCTCCTCCAGAGAGGGCCCTGCTGGGAACTCGCTTTTCCAGCAGCATTTGCATGGGGCAGGCATTGAAAAGTCTCTGAGTTCCTCTCGGAACATGATGGGAGTTGACGTTTCTCTCTCTCTGTTTCTCAGCCAATAAAAGGCCTGGTTGTGTCCATGCTCTGATTGGCTGAGAATGGACATAACTGGTGACTACAGTTCTGAGAAACCTGTCTTGTGGCGTATTTTTTTAAAATGTTATGGTAAAAACTTAAAATAATTCCCTAAAAACCAGTAGATTGCCTAATTGTTCTGAAACTTGGCAGGCCTGCAGTCATAATTGGGGTCTAAAACTGAGGTAGGATTCATGCAGAAAGGCCTTAAAATGACTGACTATTAAGCCTTCAATGTTTCCAAGTGTAGCCAATGGGCTGAATCTTTGCAAAATGAAAACAGCAACACTCCTCCCGATTTGAGTAACTTCCCGGTAAACAGAATGAGAGGTTAGCTGAAAATTGACCCCGAAACGGCATGTCTTTTGGTGAAATTGCACAAGCCTTATGGTTAGGTGAGCGGAAACCTGAGCATGACTATTCCTATTATGGAGTGAAGGAATGATACAATAGTTATATTGATTTGATGTCACATTGATGTGGTTCCATGACAGTTCAGTTCGACAGGATCTGGGATTTTTAGTTTGGCAAAGTATTCATTCATTTATTTATTTATTTCTACCCAGCCCTTCTCTCCACAAAGGGGTCTCAGGGCGGCCTCACATAAGCATCAATGATGCTATCAACATATACAATAAAAATTTCAATTAAAACCGTAAAACTCAATTTAAAACATTATACAATACATTAACAAATTCATTAATAATAAATTAATGTGTGCTAAAACCAAGATCCAGCCAGGTAGATCCAATGTCTCAATATTCTAAAATTTCCTATCCAAGTTGCCGCTTACCTCTAGTTGAACACCTGATCCCAAAGCCAAGTCTTCAGTTGTCTTCTAAAGGACAGGAGGGAGGTGGCCAACCTGATGTCCTTAGGGAGAGAGTTCCACAGATGGGGCCCACTGCTGAGAAGGCCCTGTCTCGTCCCCACCAACCATGTTTGTGAGAGTGGTGGGAAAGTGGTAGGATCGAGAGCAGGGCCTCTCCTGACGATCTTAAGTTTTGTGATGGTTCATCGCAGGAGATACGTTCGGACAGGTAATCTGGGCCAGAACAGTTCAGGGCTTTAAAGGTTAAAACCAGCACTTTGGATTCTCCTCCACAGCTCTAATGCTGTAGGAGAGAGGACACAGATATTTGTATTTCCACATTTATTGAATCCCAGGATTCAATAGGATGGATCAATGAGAATTAAGGTGATATCAAAGTGCTGTAACTTCATAGGCACACTCTGCTGTTGGCTGTCATTGTTGTTGTTATTGTCCTTGATCCTCAAATATTTTGGAGTTCTAGTTTGATTTGTAAACAGTAGTTCATAATTCTCTGCAATTTCACATACTGTATTACACCTGGCTAATTTATTAGACATGGAATACATCTACACTGTTTTATGCAGTTCAGTTTGACACCAGTTTAACTGTTCTGGAACTATGCTATGGAGCTGTAATTTTACTAGGTCTTTAGCCTTCTCTGCTAAAGAGTCCTGTTCCCTCATCAAACTACAAATCCAAGAAATCAATAGCATTGAGCTATGGCAGTTAACATTGTATCAAACGGCATTAACTCCACAGTGTACCATTGCTTATGGGAGGCATCCTCAACCTCCAGCTGTTCGGGTCTTCAACTCCCAGGCACAAATAGCTGGAAGGCCACAGTTTGAGGATGCCTGGCTTATGGTATGTGCGGATAAATGTGTCCAATTCTGGAAATTCCTTCCAAAAGGTCACATTTGAACAGATTACAGCCAATGGTATTCAAGTTCATCCCATGGATAATAACAAAAATTACCTTGCGATTATTTTTTTCAAGTTTGTTTTTTTATTGCAGATTTTTCTCATTTAAATTGGCATGCTTCCCTTCTAACAAACATTTATTTAAAGTCCCTTTCTTGCTTGCGGGTAAAATGACACTCTTTGCCTTCAAGATGATAGCTCCTAACACATTCCCTTGAAGATCTGGAAACGGTGAAAGAAAATACTGGGGAGATAATTCCTGGTAAAAATCTCAGAATCCTCTTTAGATGTTTAAACACACAGGAAAAAGAAAGAAAGAAGGGAGGGGGGCAAGAGAGAGAGAGAGAGAAACACCACACCAATCCAGAGGAAAGGTTTATTTTAAAAAATTAAAAGGTTTGTGCCAGAGCTATGGTGCTTTGACTTTTTTGAAATGTGTTTTCAGCAATAAGTTGTACAACATTTTTTTAGAACATGTGTTAAGCTATTTCTCGAAGAATGAAGCTCTTAACAAAACATAAGCACGCTGCATGAGATCTTAGCAGCAAAGTGCTTAAAAGATAAAGTAAGAATTGGTACCATGGGAAGAACACCAGCTGTAGTGCACACAGGTCCATTATGAGAAGTATGGTATTGGGTAGGGAGAAAATGATTTAATCAGGAGTAAAACCAATTTTATTATAAGGGCACGCAGGGGGTGTGGCACCATAGTGAGAGGGACATTTCAAAATATCTGACAGATTTCAACAATGTGAAACACCCACCCTGTTCTTTAAAGTGACAGTAAACCCCATCAGGTCTCTCTTTTTGATGCTATTGTGAGCAGAGAACTGTGTAAAACTGGCCCGCTAAGATGCTGTCTGTCTCGCTCAATGGTGTGCGGGGGGGAGGGGGGGGAATATAAGACTAATTGTTGAAATACAATCAATCAATTTTGATTTCAGAGTTTGTCGCCTTTTAAGTCGGCTCTGCTAATTCGGTTTCAAGAGAGAATATTTCTTTTTTCATGTTGATGAAAAGTCTGGGCCTTTGATATGTTGTCGTTTCTTCAAGAAGAAGAAAACTCCACACAGCAACGTCTTATTACAAAGTAAATAAGAAGCAGATTGTGTGAAAAGAAATGTGAATATCAGAGTATCTAGGATACAGTTTCCATCTCTTCCAAATGTAGCTGCATTTGAACACCATTCTGAAAACAGTAAAGGAAATATTGGGAGGGAGGAATTGAATTGTGGAATTGTGGGATTATTTCTATGCTATTTTTGGAAGAAAAGGATATACAAAGAGCATTGACTAAAAAAGACCTAGTAAACGATTGCTTCAAATTGGTACAATTGTGTTTCTTGAAGATGTTAGAGGGTTTTTCTCCCAGTAGTTTTTCATTAGTTATATCTCCACTAGCATACAGATTGAAAATATCTCTCAGTTAACAACAATATCCAGTATTTAAGAATTCTATCCATTTCTAGAACAGGTGATATTGTGAAGAATTTAACATCCTTTTAATTCAAAGTGGCAGGCATTTTCACTTCCTTAGAGTTTTGTCAGGATTGTGCTTCTGTAGTTTATTGTGGCCTAATAACAATACCAGATGTTTCTAATAAGTATTCAAAGGAAACCAAAGTAATAATCACCCCATCTTTTTTTTATTGGAATGTTTTTTTTGCACTCTCTCCCTTTTATATTTAAATTTCCCAGCTCAGTCAAGCTTCAAAAGAAAAAAAAGATTTCTGTTGTTCAGAAAATCAGTTTTGCAAGCACTTGTGGTTTGTCTTTAGCGTGTTATCATTTTTGACAGTTTTGCATAGCCTAGGTAGGCCAACAGGGGTCTGTCTAATATTGTTCCTGGGCCAATCTTTTTCCCAGAGTTGAAAAACCAAATAAAATTACTATTTTTTTTTCAAAGCAATAAGGAGGAATTAATATCCATTCCCACCCACCCCTTCACAGTTCTGAATTCCTTGCTGACATTGCATTCAGGCCAAAAAACAAAAAGGAAGCCAAGAACAAAAACCAACAGAGGAAAAGAAAAGTGTGGCCCATTATTCCCTTGTACGTTGCAAGGCTAACACGTGTAAAGCAATAACTCATTTTGTATTGCCATGTTTAGCATATGTCTCCTGTTGGCTCAGGAAGGCCTTCAGGCCTGTCCCTTGAGCTGGTCATCATTGGCAACTCTTTACCCCTCAGCCTCGAAACCAAATAGCTTTGCAAACCCTGATGCTAATTTTTTTCTCCTACTGATGCATTATGGGAATAAATGTATCTGACATACTGTTTCAATGCTACTCTCTCTTTGTGCCTCTTGTTGTTGTTTTTTTTTTCCGCTGCATTCCTACAGATGGTATTCCATTGAAAATGTTTTCTTCTTACAGAAAAAAAAGAAGGGGAAGGAAAAAAAAACATGCACAGCACCAAACCTCTAGGTGCAGAAGGCTGTTAACGGTTGCTGATGATAGTAGGCAAACATTAACATAATAATTAGTGTCTTGTAATTGTTTCATTAAAACCAGTTGTTCCATTTCTCCTCGTGTTTTCCCAGAAGAGAAGCTGAATTTGGACGACAGCCAGTGGGAGGACATCCACGTTGTCACCGGAGCACTCAAGATGTTTTTCAGAGAGCTGCCTGAGCCACTGTTCCCCTACTGCTTCTTTGAACAGTTTGTGGAAGCAATAAGTAAGTACATCACATACCGTAGCAGTTAATTAAATAGCCTATGTGCTTTTTGAAGGGGGGGAGGGCCTCAAATTGGGGGAACTCATCTCAAACATTGCTTTACCTGCTCCTGTTTTCACCCCATCCACAGTTTTGCTTCTTATTTGAATTGCTCTGGCATTTATCAATTTATTTTAAGAGCATAGTACACTAAGGGAAATAATAAACTGCATAGGCGTTGTCTCATAATTAGACCTGTTGTGCTTATTATTCATGCACCCAAAACATAATATCATTAGGCAAGATTAATATGCATAATTTAAAGGACTATATATACATGCCTTTGAAGGGTGGGAGAACTGCTATGGTGTTTAATAATAAGCAATACTATTTCTGCAATCACAGATTCCTCGTGATCCCCAACCATGTGATGCCTGTGTGTTCATATCTTATCTTTTCTTCCTCAGTTCTTAAACATTTCTTGTTCAACTTAGGCTTGCCATCCTGCAGCTGTGTCTTTAAGAACAAGTTCATCTGAATCAGTAGCAGGTGATAATTCTTATCTCGGTGCCTTGAAAAAGCCTCACCTGATAATTTGTGTATTTCATGCTGTTGTTAAGGCAGGCTAGGGCATTTTTTTTCCTTTGGCAGTTGGCAATCAACTTCCGGAGTGCATGTATTTCAAAAAGGGAACTTACAGGACATGTGTCTCACTTTTGAGAGACTTTTAATTCTGATATATTTGATCTAAATAATGGGACCAGAGAGATAATCTTAGCTAGCAAAGAAACTGATTTCACTTTTCTTTGAGAAGGAGGGAAGGGGGACCCAAAAAACCAAAAAACTTGCAAGCCTAGCAGGAGTTTAATTAAAGTCCAATAGAGAAAAATCTCCAGGAAAAACAATAAAGCACTTAGGGATCTGTTCTCCGATTGATGCGCGTGTGCAACTGCCATTACCGTTAATGAGAGTTGTTTGCGCGTGCACATCAGTCAGAGAAGATAGAACCCTTAATGTGCTGTTTAATTTGATTTTATGTTCATAAAAGTGTTTAGGTTTAACGAAAGCTCTTCACGGCTAGCATCTCGCATAACAAAGTTGAATAAATCTTCCAAAATTCTTCCCTTTCCTTCTTTGCTGCTTAGAGATACCCTGTGGTGGTTAAGCATGCATTAACATAACCACACTGAGGAGGAGGTCTCCTTTGGAGGCGCAGCCCATGGTCCCCTTTCTTCCACCTTCTCCCTTTTCATCTTAAAGACAAATAGGACAAAGAAGGTTGTCTTTTGAGATTCATCTCACACTTCAGGATTCATGTAATTATCTAACAGGAAAACATTAAGAACAAACAATTCCTTAGTGAGCTGGCTGCAGCTTATGTGCTGCACCAAAATGAAGAGATCTTTGTTTGAAGCTCTCCCATTCTAACACACACACTTCAGGTGGCTTCCCATGTACCTGCCACACTATTTGAAGTGCTGGTTCTTTAATACTTTCAGGAGATATAATTTGTTTATAGGGCACTACCCTATTTTGCTTCATGACCCATTCAGTTTAGTTTGCAGTCAAGTGTTTTGCAGAACAAAATAAAATGTAAACTGCATAATGTTTTCAATTGTTTTGCTGTTTTTTTCTTAAATGGCACCTTCTTCAATGTAAATAATTTTATGATGGGTCAGCTAGGAACTTTTTTAAAAAAAAGATGAGAAATACTCTTCATGGGGAAGGTGCAAAGGCATGCAGTGCACTACAGCTTTTTATTTTGGAGCCATGGTGGGGGCTGGGAATAACTCATCCAAGCATTCCTATTTAAGTATGACAAATTAATGTCCATTTCAGCTCACTCAACTATTTTTAATTCCTGTTACGGTCCTGAAAGCCATTATAAACACTGACAGGCTAATGAACAGTCATTTATGGTGTTTAGAAGATGGCTACTTAGAAGAAAAATTAGTCTCTTTTTAATATGTGTGTGTGTGTGTGTGTCCCATGGAAATTTGTTTTTTTTATTTTGTGGGAATGGGAGTAAGCATAAAAATAAGTAGAAGAATCATAACATTGCAATAAGATCACTAAAGAAATAGACACTTATTGCTTGCAGTCTTTAGTATAACATGAATACATTTGTGTGAGAGATAATGTAAGAAGTCAAAGAAAAATATCATTAACTATTGGAATATTAGATATGTGTGATGTAGCATGCATATGGGTGGGTGACTGTGTGTTAGCACTTGACTGGAATTTGATCAGAAGCTTAAAGAGTTTCTTCACTGCATGATGAAAAAAACATGGTTTCATAATATCAATTTCCTCCAAAATTCAGGTTCTTTGTTTAATTTGTTGAGCTACATAGTACTATGTGAAGCTATTTTAGTTAGCTGAAGTGATATAATCACACCACCAAATTTGATTGCCTATAAACTAAATGTGTCCAAATGGCATCACAAAATATAGTTTATGAAGCCAAGAACAAGACCAACCTCCCCGATCGGTGGACATACCTTTCCATTGAATGACACTCAAAATGTTCTAATTTCAGTATTAAGTCTAAACTCTAAAGCATATCTAGTCTTAACTGTGATTTGCTGTACCATAGTTTGAAGGTGGCAAATTCAAACAATGCATAGTTGAGATTAACCAGTTTGTTTCATCGAGCTGCAGGTGATCTAAAACTGAAAACATGAGGTTGTAGTCCTCATGAAGAAATAAGTTGTAGTCCATGGATTTTTGTTGCTGTTGCATGCCATGAAGTCATATCCAACTTATGAGTAGGTGGATCTCTTGCTGGGGTTTTAGGGGCTGAGAGTGTGTGACACACCCAGACTCAATGAATGAATTTCCATTGCATTTGCAGGAAATCAAACCCTGGTTGAAGTCAAGATCTCAAACCACAGGCTCATGAAAGTTTACATTGGCATACATTGATTAATCTCAAGACTGTTGCAAGACTGCTTTTTTCCCCTCTTTTTATAGTAAATCAGACATGGCTGATTTTGTACCCGCCATATTTTTCTGTTTTTGTAATCCACCATTACTGCAGCAACAGATTGGCTCCTACTGTCTGTCAAGGCTATTTTTCTCCCCTTGTGAGATTTCCATTTTCTTTCTCATTCTATAATTTCTCGACTTCTAGCTAGTTTTCTTCATTTCTTGTCTTCTTCAGGGGTCTTCAACACTTTTTCTTCATCTTTCACCTGGCATTGACTGAACATGGTGTAGAGAACAAGTCATCTGTTTCCCTAGAGGGACAATGAACTCCATTTACAATCCTGAACATAGCCCTTTTGCCCTCTTTATGTACAGGACATTATTGTTCATGGCAAGCTGCCAGGCAAGCAGAAGTCCCTAACATGCATATTTGGAAAGTACACGCAGTACTTAATTCTAAATCCAATTGCTAGTCCTATCTGAATTCAACCCATTGAATCTATTGCTGAATACAAAGATACCATGTCTATATATCTCACTGCCTCAAAGAAACTACGTACTTCACTTGGGATATATTGTGGGTTGGTGAATTCTACAGGGCTATTTATATGTGAGTAGAGTCAGACATGACTGGACTTAATGTCAGGGGACTACCTTTACCTTTACCTATGTATGTAAATTGCAATACAGCTTGGAGCACCTGGTATTTGTTGATGCCATTCAATTCAATTGCTAACCATGGCTGGCCCTGCTTGCTTTCCAAGATCAGATGAGATCTAGTGACTTTGGAGTATTTATGCGGAGTGCCTCCTAATAATAGTTCTGGGATCCATAGAAGCAACCTTTGGATTGCTCATCCACTTGTAATTAAAATGGCAACAAATGGGAGAAAATCCCCAAATCAGAAACAGATGAAAGATGGATGTATCAGTATCATTTACAAAACAACACAATGTGATTCAGAAACCTAAAATCTAAGGGAAGATCCAGGTGTAGAGAATTTCCCAAACTACAGCCATTCTCCAATATCTCTTGTTTTCTGTATAGAGTGAAATAATTTACTGCAGACATGGGAAAATTCTGCCCTCCAGGTGTTTTGGACTTCAACTTCCACAATTCCTAATAGCTAGTAAGATGGCTGGGATTTTTGGGAGTTGATGTCCAAAACACCTGGAGGGCCGAAATTTGCCCATGCCTGGTTCACTGAATAGAGCAAAATTCTGTCATGTGAACCAAGAGTATTACCACCTCAAGGAGAAGTAGGACTATTAGACTACAACTAGCATCTTTTATCCTTTCTTCTTACCTATTTATTTCTACTGCATACCAAAACCTTTTACTGTGTTACTGTTTTCAGTTGTTTTTTTCATCTCCTGATTTTTTTTCTTGTGTGCATTTCACTCTTCATCTGCTCTTATTTTTCAAGACAGCTTTAATTTCATTACAGGGAATAGTTGTGGTCTTGATCCCCAACCATCTTGTTACAGATTTAAATTTGAAGTATGCATAATAAAAAAGACAGCACTGTGACTAATGCCATCTGAGCTTGACTACAGTTTCAGAAGGTCAGCCTCTCGGCTTGTGAAGCAAGCCAATGTAATAAGCAGCAAAGCTGGCCAGGTTATCAGACGCTAGAGCTTCTTTCCCTTTATGTAGGTCCAGAGCTATGAGTCGCTCTTTCCATGGGGAGCAGAGACGGAGAGCTGTACATCCAAATCACCTGCAAATGTAAACAGTATTTTATAACTGCCAAAGAAGCTATTTGGGAAAGGGAGATTTATCCAGCACTGAGCTGACAGCTATTTAATTAATGTGCCCAGGAATGACAAAATAATATTTTCCTCTTTTATTTTTTCCCCCAAGATCTTTCCAAAATAAATGATAATGATCTGCTTTTTGTGGTTTCCTATATAAAATCACGGGAGCCCCCGGTGGCGCAGTGGTTTAAAGCACTGAGCTGCTGAGCTTGTTGATCGAAAGGTCGCAGGTTCGATTCCGGGGAGCGGCGTGAGCTTCCGCTGTCAGCCCTAGCTTCTGCCAACCTAGCAGTTCGAAAACATGCAAATGTGAGTAGATCAATAGGTACCGCTACG